GGTAGGATTCTTATGCTTATGTCGCATTATTTTTGTCACTATTGGAGGATTTGTTCTTTGTAAAAGCAAACGGACTAGTTTGAAATATCGTATTTTGGTTTGTGGAATGTTTTATTGCTAGCATATTGTGATAACTTTCCTTTGGACGTGTACTCGCGGTAATGATTCCAACTCTATGCGAGTTTTAACTATAGCCAGAGCAATTACACATCTTATCAAATGAGTGCATACTTTTCAACATTTGTATGCCTAAAGCTCTTGCGAAATATTTTGTTTCACATGATTTAATTTTCTGCTCAAACCATAAGACCGTAGCCAGACTTACTTATATCCTTATCTTGCATTATATAGTGGTTGCTCCTTAATTAGGTTGGCTATTTGAATGATACTAATCTTAACATGCTTTATCTACCCCACATCGAAGTTCACGAATTTCTTTGATATTAATGGATAGCTCGTAATATTTTCCTCTTATTTCCCGAACCGCAGATGGAGACATCTTCCATTCCCTATATCTTCAGTTGTTAAGTCATCTAAAGTTGAAAAGAAACAATCGAGCTTACTTTGGAATTGTTTCATCCCCTAATGATTAGGTCTGATTAGCCGACGTGATTTCTATTCACACCAATGTTTCTAAGGGTGTTCGTCCCAATTCTAAGACTGACTCCATAACCATATGCTTTACACTTATTTGCTTTTGAACACGAATATTTTCTCTCATAATCTTTTCCTTATTCGTTCCATCAGGTTCTGTTTTGGCATAGCCAATTTGTTCTCATTCTCAATTAACCAATTGTCCCGGTTAAATGACGTGGACGACAGAAGTGGCAGTGATCCAAGTAGTTTGGGCTCATCCAATATTGTTGCTAATTCATTTTTCCGAGCACTTCCAGTCGGCTGGCTAGTCTGCCCTCTCGGCCGCTCGACTGGCCTCGCCTGTCTCCTGCTTGGTCAGGCGACGATTGGGCGGCTATCCTCTATCAATACGCTAAGACGGGCAGTTCGTGGCTTTCGTCCGACATCAGACGACAGCTTGGTAAGCCTCCATTAATTTTATAGCATAAGTGTAATATTCAGTTTTATTTCCACAATTTCATTAATAGTATCAGGATAACCTTTTAATGCTCAAATATATTGATTTATGTGACTGAGATTTAGGTTTGATAGATCCGTAAATCTTTAGGGATTATTTAAATCTTTTTACTATATTTTGGTTTAAATAAACGCCATTTTGCCCTCACCATCTTCCATTTTACCTTTTTGTAATTTGTATACAATGAATATTTTAAATACCTT